TGCCTGCCCGCCCGCCTGCCTGCCCGCCTGCCTGCCTGCCTGCCTGCCTGCCCCGGGAGAAGGTTTCACCTGAAAGGAAAGAATTCGGCCGAGAAACAGTTAAGGCGAAGTTTATTTAACAAAGCAAAGCTACATACTCCAAAGATTGGAGTGGGCTTTCTCGGAAGGTAGGTGGGAGCAGCGCATTGGGGTCTGCGTTGGGCATTTTAAAGGAGTTTTTAAAGAGAACTGATGAGGTGCATGGTATATTCATGCAACACCCTTGCCCTCGCAAATTATAGTGAACCTCATGTTCCGTTGTAGGGCACCCCCCCACAATGTGATCTTGAAAAAAAAAAAATCAAGGTGCTGGTGTCGAAACCGCAACACATTGTAATGAAGCCAGAGTCTTTTTGCAATCCCTTCTTGAATAACGTGCATGTTGGCAATTCGTTAAGCACTCTGATGCCTTGGTTTCTGATACAGTGGGAATATCCCAAATTTAGCTTCACGGATGCTTCGCCAGAGAGGTGCATGCTGACCATGGGAAGGCTTAGTGCAATTTGGTTGGTTTCCTGCGTTCTGGCGTGCGTTAAGTCCCCACCTAACCAGGAGACACAGCTACCAAGATACAGATGCAGTTTTCCATGACTACCGCATATCTAACTCCTTGCCCTACCTATCCAGGTCTTTCTAATACTTGATGATGGTAAGCTTGGCGTTGGCAGGGGAGAACGACGTTATTTTTTTCCTTTTCATTTTAGTCTTCTAGAATTTGATGCCCCTCCCCCCCATTCAAAATGGAACCCCTCTATTCAGATATTAGCACAAGTTCTAGAATATGGCGTTTCTAAAAGGTAAAGGATGTGCTCAGGAGCTTTGTGCTGGGAGGAGGGTTGCTAGACTGGGGTTACTGTCAGTTTTGACACCAACCTTAAAAGTTCCAATCACAGGCTGAGCCCTGCCTGTAGTAAGACACCAGGAAAATTTCATAATCTTCAGACCCTTACTGAGAATTCAACAAATCCCTAGAGTTTCTTGTGGCTCACAATTGAAACTATGTTAACTTTAGGAAAGCTTTTAAAAACGAAAACAATTTGCTTTAGAGAATCATCCCCTTTTTTGTAAAATAGAGGTTGTGGAGTTGTTGGAGGTGCTTTTAATGTAACTAAACAAGAGATGAGAACTTAGAACCTCAACTTTTCAGAAATTATGATTGTGAACTTTGGAAGAAGAGTTTCTTTGTTTGTTTGTTTGTTTGTTTGTTTTTCGAGACAGGGTTTCTCTGTGTAGCTTTGGAGCCTATCCTGGCACTCGCTCTGGAGACCAGGCTGGCCAACTCACAGAGATCCGCCTGCCTCTGCCTCCTAAGTGCTGGGATTAAAGGCGTGCGCCACCAATGCCCGGCTTATAAATGTTGTTCCTGAGTAACAAGGATCCCCAAAGATACCAGGGAGACAGACCACCAATGCAAATGCACAAGGTTTATTAAATTGTTTACCCTACTGAGGGAGAGACCCTGTCTAGCAAGCTGATGCAGCAGCCTCCAGAGGGGGTGAAGTTCCCTGACTACTACTAGCTTTGTTTTTGTTTTGTTTTTTGGTTTTTTGAGACAGGGTTTCTCTGTGACTTTGGATGCTGTCCTGGAACTAGCTGTTGTAGACCAACCTAGTCTCGAACTCACAGAGCTCCTGCCTGCCTCTGCCTCCCGAGTGCTGGGATTAAGGTGTGCACCATCATGGCCAGGTCTTGAGTTTCTTTTCTTGGTTCATTTCAGAAAGTAAAAGATTGTTCTCATAACCACCTCCATCGCATTCCCCAATAAGGGTTCTGAGGAGGAAAATAGCACTACTAAAATCTTCCCACTCAGGAAAGTATTCCTCACATTGCTTTTCAAATACATAATTATTCAACTGATGCATATACGTGAACTTCGGGGTTCTGGTCATTCTCTGATACTCATAGGGAATTAGTTACAGGAATCCACAGATAGCAAAATCTGAGTGTGCTAGTCTTTGGTTTGGTTTTTTGAGATGGAGCCCAGGCTGTCCTGGAACTCATTATGTAGACTACGGTGACCTTCAGCTTGAAGCAATCTACCTCTGTATCCCAAGTGCTTGAATTATGGGGGATACTCCACTACACCTGGCTCTGAAGTCATATAGAATGATATGCATAGTATTTGCATATACTCCATGCACACACTCTGGATTACTCATACCTAAAACAATAAAATTGTTGTTTTTGTACTGGCTGATTTTATGTCAGTATGACACAAGCTATGGTCATCTGAGAGGAGGGAACCTTATTTAAGAAAAGGCCTATAGAAGATCAGGGTGCAGTGAATTTGGTAGGGCATTTTCTTAACTAGTGATTGATGGTGGAATGCTTAGCTCACTGTGCTGCCCCTGGTCTCTTGGTCCTGTGTTCTTTAAGAACACAGGTGGTAGTACTGCACTCCTTTAATCCTGGCACTTGGGAGGGAGAGGCGAGCAAATGTCTGTGAGCTGAGGCCAGCCTGGTCTACCGATCAAGTGCCAGGACAGCCAGGACTACAACAGAGAAACCCTGTCTCAAAAAACAAGAGAAAGAAAAGAAAAGAAAAAAGAAAGAAAAGTAAGTAAATTGAGCAAGTCATAAGGAACAAGTCAATGAGCCTCCCCTCCATGGCTTCTGCATCATTTCCTGGAGTATCAGTTCCACTTGGTTTGAGTTCCTACAGTGGACTGTGACTTGGGATCTGTAAGCCAAATAAACCCTTTCCTCCCCAAGTTGCTTTTTTGTTGATTTTGCTTGTTTTTGGAGACAGTGTTTCTCTGTGTAACCTTGGCTGTCCTGTAACTCACTCTTTAAACCAGGTTGGCCTCAATCTCAAGACATCTGCCTGCCTCTGCCTCCCAAGTGCAGGGATTTAAAGGTGTGAGCCATTACACCTGACTCCCAAGTTGCTTTTTGATCGTGGTGTTTTATCACAACATTAGTAACCCTGACTAAGATAGTGTTATTTAGGGAAAATAATAAAAGTCTGTACATGTTCAAAGTCAATACTTTACCTTTTGAATATTTTGATCCTTACTTGGTTGAATACAAAGATGTAGAACTAGTAGAATTTGGAGGCAGAAGAGATAACTTAAGTTGGTGTTAGCTAGATTATGGTAGTGGTGCCAGGGTCGGGCATGCTCTGGACTTGTGGAAGTTTGTGTTTAAGGAAGCCCCTTTTTAGTTCCTTAATTTGTAAAGCTAATTGTGTATTCAGCTTCCCACTTCTTCAAATATGGTCTCTTTTCTCTTGTAGCTGCATCATCCAAGGATTACTTTGTTCTTTCTCCATAGTGCTTGATGGGCGGCATTATGGCCCCCAAAGACATAATGACAAATACTCATGCCAAGTCCATCCTCAACTCCATGAACTCCCTCAGGAAGAGCAACACCCTCTGTGATGTGACCTTGAGAGTAGAGCAGAAAGACTTCCCTGCCCACCGGATTGTGCTGGCTGCCTGCAGTGATTATTTCTGTGCCATGTTCACTAGTGAGGTAAGTGCAAGTCATTGCTCCATAAGTGAAATTCACGTATGTAACTTGTTTCATACATTCTGCTCTTATTTCAAAGAGCAGAATAGCATGTATTGGTGATTTGTCTGAATTCTCTGGCCAGCTAGGTGAGTGTCCCTTTCTTTCTTCACTGTTTGTTTGTGTCTTCTGTGGGGGATGCTCAGTCACAGATGTTGTATCCCAACAAAAGACCATTCTTTGGTCAAAAATGTAGGATCCCTGCCCTGTTAAAACTTCGAAACAAGCTACCAATAAAATATAAATTTGAAACCAGGTATCGTGTGTCACACTTATAATCCCAACACTCGGGAAGCAGAAGCAGGAGGATCACCATAAATTTGAGGCTAGTCTAGGCTACAGAATAATACCCATCTCAAACACACTCAGCAGGGGCTGGAGAGATGGCTCAGGGGTTAAGAGCACTGGCTGTCCTTCCAGAGGACCCAGGTTTAATTCCCAGCACCCACATGGCAGCTCACAGCTGTCTGTAACCCTGTTCTGGGAATCTGAGACCCTCACATAGACATACATGCAGGCAAAACACCAATGTACATAAAAAATACAAATAAAAGGTTTGTGTATTAAAAAAAAAAAAAAAAAAAAAACACCCAGCAATGAAAAAAAAATTGTAGCTTGGTAAACCCATGAATTTGTATAGTGTATTTGTTAAATAGGTAAGCTCTGAATAAGACATATGATGGCTTCCCCTTTTAAATTACCAATAGTCATAGAAAATGAGTGTTCCTGGACTGGAGAGATGGCTCAGAGGTTAAGACCACTGACTGCTCTTCCAGAGGTCCTGAGTTCAAATCCCAGCAACCACATGGTGACTCACAACCATCTGTAATGAGATCTGGTACCTCTTATGGCCTGCAGGTGTACATGCAGGTAGAACACTGTATACATAATAAATAAAATTTAAAAAAAAGAAAAAAAGAAAATGCCTGGCGTGTACATCTGTTTTTGAGACAGAATCTTACTACATAGCCCAAGTTGATCTGAACTACTCCATCTTTCTGCCTCAGTCTCCTCAAGTACAGAGATTACAGGCATGTGCCACCCATGCGTGGCTATGATAAGACTCTTTAAAAGGTATCTCTACCTACCAGTTTTTCTTTAGTTAGTACCCGTCACCATAATGAAGAGGTAGTTGCTGGAACCGGATAGGAGAGAAGTATAATAGTAGCTATATTTATGGGCCCTGTTACAATGCTGTGTTTGTCATTCATCCTAAAGGTATATATTAACATTTCATTTTACAAATGAAAAAGGGTCTCAATAAATGCCGTGTCCATGGTCATGGAGCTTGAGAATGTTACACACAGGTGGGCTTTGCCTCTACAGCTTGTGACTATAAAGCCTACTTCTTAACTCCCTTGCTCAGTCTGATAGAAGAAACAGAAAGCTGCCAGGTCATTCTGGCTCATCCAGGCTAATTTAAAAACCGTCTTGAATAATACAACAGCACAGATCTCTAGCCTGAGCTGTTCTCCATTATGGCTGTCCCCAGAGCACTGGCATTTAGCTGGGTAAGGGGTGTTAACCAGAAGTGCTGAGCATGGAATGGACTAAGAAGACTGCCAGCTACTGATTGTACATTAATACCCTGTTTGCTGTTGTCTTGGAGAAAGTCTGTCTGCACTGTTTATTCAACATTGAGAAATTTGTGGAGTCTTGAAAAATAACTAATTTCTTCTCATACATGATTCTTCTTCTTTTTTCTTTTGTTTTCTTCTTTTCATCTTTTTTAGACAGGGCTTTTCTGTGCCTGTCCTAGAACTCCTGTAGACCAGGTTGGCCTTGAACTCAGATATTTACCTGCCTCTACCTGGGATTAAAGACAACATGTACCACTAATGAATCTTTTTTATGTATGGGATTGGTTTTGTAATCAATGTTTTTTGTCATTCTCTGGGCTGTTGGAGAAATCAAAGTTGATAAAGCCATTTAGTTTGTAATGGAAGTACATCAGAGTGTTGTAATAGGAGTTTATGTGTGTGAGCGCATGTGGACCTGAGTGTGCTCACCTTTGTGAGGCCATTGTCAGAAGCCCTCATTAGTCACTCTCCACCCTACTTTTTCCTTTAAAAAAAAAATAGTTTTTAATGTTCTAGCTTCATTTTTATTTTATTTTTGAGACAGCATCTTTTGGTAAAGACATTGCCTGCCAATTTTTTTTATCTTTTAACTAATTTTTATTTAAGTTAAAAACAATCTTATTTTACATACCAATCCCAGTTCCCTCTCCCTCCTGTCCTCCCATTCCCCTAAGGGAGGGTGAAGCCTCACATGGGGATCATCAAAAATCTGTCACATCATTTGGGGCAGGACCTAGGCCCTCCCCCATGTGTCTAGGCTGAGTTAGTGTCCTTCTATAGGGAATGGGCTTCCACAGCCCATTGGTGCACTAGGGATACATACTGGTTCCACTGCCAGAGGCCCCATAGACTGCCCTGGCCTCCCAACTGACACCCACATTCAGGGGACCTGGTTCCATCCTATGCTGGTTCCCCAGCTGTCAGACAGGGGACCATGAGCTCCCCCTTGTTCGGGTCAGCTATTTCTATGGGTTTTCTGGCATGGTCTTGACCCCTTTTTCATCACTCCTCCCTCTCTGCAGCTGGTTCAGTTCAGTGCTTAGCTGTGGGTCTCTGCTTCTGCTTCTATCAGCTACTGGGTAAAGGCTCTATGATAGCATTTAAGGTAGTCGTCAATCTCATTATAGGGGAAGGGCATTTAAGGCAGCCTCTCCACTACTGCTTAGATTCTTAGTTGGGGTCATCCTTGTGGATCCCTAGAGATTTCCCGAGCACCAGATTTCTTGCTAAACCCATAATGGCTCTGTCCTTTTCTTGCCCTGCTTCTCTATTCTTCCCACAACTCAACCTTCCTGATTCCTCATGTTCTCCTCCCTCTTCTCCTTCTCCCCTCTTCTTCCTTTTACCTCCCTTCCCCTCCCCCCAGTGCTCCCAATTTGCTCGGGAGATCTTGTCCCTTTCCCCTTCTCCGGGGATCAATCCACGTATGTCTCTTTTAGGGTCCTCCTTGTTTCCTAGCTTCTTTGGGGTTGTGGGTTGTTTTTTGTTTTTTAAGATTTATTTATTAGGTATAGTGTTCTGCCTGCATGTATGTGTGCAGGCCAGAAGAGGGCACAAGGTATCATTACAAATGGTTGTGAGCTACCATGTGGTTGCTGGGAATTGAACTCAGAACTTTTGGAAGAGCAGGCAGTGCACTGAGCCATCGCTCCAGCCCCTCCATCTTACTTTTGAGACAGGATCTCTCACTGAGACTCAGAATCTGCCTGTCTCTGCCTTAAGGCCTGGAATCACAGGTACATATCAATATTTTGAAGAACCATCAAACAGCTGAGTTGTATCCTGATAGACTTTTCCCCCCCACTTTTGTGTTTGCTTTTGGTTTTGTTTTTGATGTGTAGGATGTCATAACACAGCCTAGAGCAGCTCTAGCTCAGACAGTTAACAGAAGAGCCTTTTACAATGATCTGCATGTTCTTTTTCCATCCAGATGTACTCTGAGGGTAGATGAGTGGAATGTGGTAATCTTGGAGGAGGCTGTAACTATAAACCTCAGAGTCCTATTATCATGAAATTGACTATTTCTATTTTAGCCACACATGGTGGCAAATGCATGTAATCTCAGCCCTCAGAAGTCTGGGGCAAGAGGGTAGCAATAACTTCAGGGACAGCTTGGGCTACAAACTGAAAACCAGGCCAGCCACACTACAGCATATGGGTGGTGGGCGGAGAGGACAGAGAAGAGATAATGTTTTATCATAAAGGCACATAGACACTAGTGGTAAGTTTATGAAATACTTTTATATTCTGTTCTCTAAAACATCTATGTTGGTTTTAATATGAAATCAGGTTGGTAATTATTCTCTAGAAAATTTTGATATTCTACTGTTCACTACTAGGGATACAACCAACTGCCCACTCTATTTGCAGATTTACAAATACATGACATACTTGGTATATACAAATCAAATAAAATAGATGGTAATTTAAACATTTTTTATAAAATTATTTTACGTTTATGAGTGTTTTGCATGCATGTATGACTATGCCTTATGTGTGTGTGCCTGTTGCCTATGGAGGTCAGGAAATGGCATCAGTCCCCTGGAACTGGTGTTATGGATGATTGTGAACTTCCTTGGGTGCTGGGAATTGAACCCAGGTCCTCTGGAAGAGCAGCTAGTAATACTCTTCACCACTGAGCTATTTGTCCAGCCCCAGACTATTATTTTTAAATGATGTATATTTAATTAGTACCAGTGTCCATTTGAGTTCTTAGGCTTAGATTCTGTCTTTACATTGTGGAATTAAAAGTACCATTCTTTTCTGCCTTATGAATTTTCAGCTTTCAGAGAAGGGGAAGCCATATGTTGACATTCAAGGTTTAACTGCTTCTACCATGGAAATCCTGTTGGACTTTGTGTACACAGAAACAGTACACGTGACAGTGGAGAATGTTCAAGAACTGCTCCCAGCAGCCTGTCTACTTCAGCTGAAAGGTACAGTTGAGAAAAGGTATCCTTGTTCCTGACACATCAGCCCTGGAAGTGGTTTTCATGATGTAAAATTAATCAAGACTTTCAGAGGCCCATCTAGAAGCATGACTTTTGAATCTCTGAGCATGGAAGTCAGGTGTATTTAAGAGCAATGCAAAAGACTCTCCAAATATGAGTATTTGGCTCTTGGAAAAGAAAATGTTTAAACTTTTTCTATTTTTGAGAATATGGAAGGACCAGGTGTGATGACTAACACTAGTTATCCCAGCACTTAGGAAGCTGAGACAGGAGGATTGTGTGAGTTTCAAGCCAACTTAGTCTACAAAATGAGATTTATGTCTCAAAACCAAGCCAAAGGGCTGAAGAGATGCCTCTATGGTTAAGGGCATGGACTGCTTGCTCTTCAGGAGGACCTGTGTTTGAGTCCCAGCACCCACTTGGTGGCTTACAACTATTGGTAACTTCGTTTCCAGGGAACCTGATGCCCTCTTCTGGGCACCAGGTAAGAAAATGGTGTACAGACACACATGTATGCAAAGCACCCACACATAAGATAATTAAGCAAAACAGAAGAATGGAAAATACAGGGATGTCCTTAATACATACATGCAAGCATACTTGCATAGTACTCATGTAAGAATTGCCAAGAAACTGATAGTGTTCATTTCCTGCAGAGATACTGTCCACTTATTTACCTTGTCATTAGGTGGCTATGGGCATGGAGAGGCTAAGAGGACTCTTCATATAAACCATTTTATATCTTTAAGTCTTTGAATCATGTGAAATATCTTTTTTAAATTTTATTTAGTTTATTTTTATTTTTTATGCGTATAAGTGTTATGCTGGAAAGTAGGACCTTTGGTGGCCACAGAGGTCAAATGTCAGAGCCCCTGGAACTGGAGTTATAGGCAGTTGTGAGCTGCTTTCTGGATGCTGGGAACCGAACATAGATTATCTTCAAGAGTGACAAATGCTTTTAATGGCTGAACCGTCTCTCCAGTCCCCTTGTTTGTTTTTGGGTTTTTTTGAGACAGGGTCTCATTATGTAACTCTGACTGCCTCAAATTCTAGCATAGCCACCTGCCTCTGCTTCCCAATACTATAATTAAAGGCATGTGCCACCATGCCTGACTTAAAATACTTATTAGAAATAAAATTTACCTAGCACTTGTGAAAGAGAGGCAACATGGGCTATATAGGTAGACCATGTCTCAAAAAAAGTAAATAAAATAAAATTTAAATCGATGTATAATAGTTAAAATATAATTTTCACTGCATTAGAGATGGCCTCCCTTCCAGTTTCTAGTCTATTTTTATGTGTGTGTGTGTGTGTGTGTGTGTGTGTGTGTGTGTGTGTGTACTTTTTCTTTGTTTTGGTTTACACTGTATAGAAAAAAACTGGCCCTGAGCTGTATCCCAGGTGTTCCTAATTCTATCTTCTTGCCTCAGCCTCTTGAGTACTAGGATTGCAATTGTGGTCAAGGACTAGCCAGTCTGTTTCTTTTAACCGCCATTTATGTATATCCACATAAATGAAACATTCTTGCTGTTGTTTTGTTTTGTTTTAGATGAGTCTCACTGTGTAGTCCACGCTGTCCTTGAGTTACTGATCCTTTGTATTCTTCTGAGTGCTGGGATTACAGGAACAAACCATTATATCCAGTCTACATTCTCCACTTGTAATATAGATTTAAGTAAAATGAAACACAATTTATATTTTATAAACAGAGTTATAAAATTAAGAATTAAGTTTATGCAAGATGTTGTGGCACACACCTTTAATCTCAGCACTCAGGAGAGAGATGCAGACAGATATTTGTAAATTTGAGTCCAGTCTGATCTGCATCATGAGCTCCAGGCCAGCCAGGGTTACAGAGTAAGACCCTGCCTCAAAAAACAGCCTTAAAGAATTGAGTTCATTTGTTTGTTAGTTTTTTGGTTTTGGGGTTTTGGGTTTTTTTTCCAAGACAGGGTTTCTCTGTGGCTTTGGAGGCTGTCCTGGAACTAGTTCTTGTAGACCAGGCTGGTCTCGAACTCACAGAGGTCTGCCTGCCTCTGCCTCCCAGTTGCTGGGATTGAAGGCATTTGCTACCACCACTAGGCAAGAATTGAGTTCATGCACTGTACTTTTTTTTTTTTTTTCCAGTGCCAAGGATTGAACTGGGGCCTTGTGCATTCTGAGATGCTATACTAGCAGAACTGCTTTTCTGTAAAGCTACATACATCCCAAGCTTCTCTTCTGAATTTCCCAGTTAGAGAATTACGGCATTATTTTCCTTCACTGGAGGGGTTGCTTGTTTTTTGGGTTTCTCTGTGTAACACTGTTGGCTGTCTTGGAACTTGCTTTGTAGACCAGGCTGGCTTCAAACTCACAAGAAAGCTGTCTGCCTCTGCCTCTGCCTCTGCCTCTGCCTCTGCCTCTGCCTCTGCCTCTGCCTCTGCCTCTGCCTCTGCCTCTGCCTCTGCCTCTGCCTCTGCCTCTGCCTCTGCCTCTGCCTCTGCCTCTGCCTCTGCCTCTGCCTCTGCCTCTGCCTCTGCCTCTGCCTCTGCCTCTGCCTCTGCCTCTGCCTCCCAAGTGCTGGGATTAAAGTTTGTGCCACCATACCCAGCCTCACTGGAGTTTTAAAATAATTTGACATATGGTTCAGTAGTTAAGAACACGTGTGTCCCAGAGAACCTGGGTCCAATTCCCTGCACTGACATGGTCGATGACTCACAACTGCCTTTAGGTCCAGTTCCAAGGGATCTGACAGGTATGACCTCCTTGGGCACTGTATGCCATGATGCATTTACATACATGCAGACCTAATACTTAGACACATAAAATAAAAATCAGTAAATCTTAAAACAAAACAAAACAAAATCTTTATGTAGGGAGTAGAAAATAAGAACATTGGTTCTTGTTTTTAGATTGGTTTCAGTAGCTAAGAGTGTACAGCATTTGATGGTGTGAATGTCCTTGAAACTAGGTCGGACTTGCTGTATTCATTTTAAAGATGAAGCAGAAGCAGATATAAAGGGCTTTTAAAAGTGACATAGTGGGGTTGGAGAGATGTCTCAGAGGTTAAGAGCACTGGCTGCTCTTCCAGAGGTCCTGAGTTCAATTCCCAGCAACCACATGGTGGCTCACAACTATATGTGAAGAAATCTGGCACCCTCTTCTTGCCGGCAAGCATACATGCAGACAGAGTACTATACACAATAAATAAATAAATAAATAAATCGTTAAAAAGAAAGTGACATAATACATAAGACAGAGATAATATTTAAATGCCTTGACCATACATTTTCTAATTTGTGTGTTAAGGTGTGGAGCCAGTGTTCTGATAACATGTAGAGAAGACTTCACCCTTGGCCTTGTATCCTGAAGTCTGCTCACTGCCTGTGTTTATCCTAGGTGTGAAACAAGCCTGCTGTGAGTTCTTAGAAAGTCAGCTGGACCCTTCTAATTGCCTGGGTATCAGAGATTTTGCTGAAACTCACAATTGCGTTGACCTGATGCAAGCAGCTGAGGTTTTTAGCCAGAAGCATTTTCCTGAAGTGGTACAACATGAAGAGTTCATTCTTCTGAGTCAAGGAGAGGTGGAAAAGCTAATCAAGTGCGATGAAATTCAGGTACAGCTCTGGCTTGGTGTTATGGTTTCGTTAAAACTGGGCCTTTATAAAAATTACAGGGCAGGATGGAGTGACTGGGTCCATATTACAGCTTCATAATCAAATACCCAGATTGGGGCCAAAGGTTTTAATTTATTTGCACATTTTTGGAGGAAAAAGATCTGCCCCTTTTCTTTATCAAATATATTCATTCCAGGAGTAAACAATTAAATCAGCAGAAATTGGAAATTAGGTATATTTCTATGCAATACTATTACCCACTGGCTGTGTAGTAGTGTTTTTTGTTGCCTATAGGCATAGTTAGGCTGAAAATGGAATGAAGAATCCAAAGAGGTCTAATAGATGTCTTTGAAGCCTGTAGCATTAATCTCCAATGGACTAGATCTTTAGTTAGTAGCTTCTAGAAAGATACTCAGAGAGAGCCAAGTCCTGTGTCATGTGTACCTGTTGAGTTGGTTTCTCTACTAGAATATATTACCAAACTTCTGTTCCTCAGTTTAGATCTGAAATGCATTAGAAAGCATCAGGATTGATTTAATACTTTTATATGCTGTAGGAAAGTTTGCTACTTAAAGAGATTCTATGACCAATCCAGGAATGCCATTGAATATCTGTAATCCCAGCACTCAAAAGGCTGCAGAGGTAGGAGGGTCATGAGCTTGCCTTGGCAACACAGTGAGACTTTTTCTCAAAAAAAAAAAAAAAAAAAAAAAAAGGAAAGAAAAGAAAGAAAGAAAGAAAGAAAGAACCATAGGAGAAAAGAAATTCTGTGTTATACTTTGTGTAAATCAAATGGTCACTGTCCTGACTGGCTAGAAATGGATTTTTATGTTACAAATTAAAATTTTAAGTATACTTTTATTGAATTTTAGCCAACTTTTAGTATACACCTTTCTTTGACTACAGTTGTAAGGCAAACCTGGGAAGAACATCTTGGTAAATTGTATTCATCTAGAGGGGAATTATTCCCCACTTGACTTTCATATTAGCCTAGAGAGACACTGTTAGAGATGCTGCTGAGTCAAACATGTGCTGGTCTTTTCATCCTGATGCTGCTGCTGAACTTGTATCCTTGTGCAGATGGGGAGAGGCATGGCCACAAAGTGTATTCTTTACATTTAGGAGCCAGTAGTTAGCTAGAAAATTATGACTCTCCTTTTTACATTTTTAATATTTATGTATCTTGATTTTTTTGAGATAGGGTTTCTCTGTGTAACCCTAGCTGGTCTGGAATTGACCTGGCTGGCTTTGAACTCAGAGATCTGCCTACCTCTGTCTCCCAGGTACTGGGATTAAAAGTGTACCCCCCCCCACACCCAGCATGACTCTTTGTCTCTGTATTAGAAAATACAGTGACGTAGTAGGTGCTACTGTTTATAATAAAATAGTACTTAGCATCTACTATTAGTTATTTTGTCAGAGGCTTATTGAATACTTACAGTGGAAAATCCCCGTCACTTTGTACATCTCTTTCTCCCTCCTTCATACCTGTACCAGTCTTTCTTTTGGGGGGCCACCAACCAGCTCCCAGATCATGACATGGAGACTTACCATTAGTTTTGAGTGCTTAGCCTTATCTGAGCCCTTATTTTAGTGTCTCTCTTTATCTACCTTTTGCCTCGGGGCTTTTTACCTTTCTTTCTGTATGTCCTCTGGCTGGCCCAAGGCATCTCTCTCTTTGCTCCCCTTTTCCTCTCTCCTTTCTCAAGCCTAGATTTCTTCTCTTGTTTATTCTCTCTGCCCACCAGCCCTGCCTATCCCTCTACTGCCTAGCTACTGGCCGTTCAGCTCATTATTAGACCAATCAGGTACAAGATGAAATAGCAGCACATCTTTTCACAATTAAACAAATGCAGCATAAACAAATGTAATACATCTTTACACAGTTAATATTCCACAATACCCACCTCATCTTTTATTTTTTGTGTGTTTCTGTTGGAGTTTAGAATTAGTAAGTCTTGGACATGGTAGGCTAGCCAGTACTCTTATCATGGAACCGACCTAGACCCAGCTCTTTTGGATGGTATTATTCTTGGTGCTTCCACCTGACTTAACCCTCACAGCTGTCTTCAGTTATCATCCAGTTGACTTAGAGGTGAACCACTGTACCGTCGTAAGTTGTAGAGTCAGGATTCCAGATGTGGTGCCCCACACCTATAACTCTAGTGTCCCCTGGGACGCAGAGCTGGGAAATTTAAAACTATCCTGAACTACAGAAGAAACTCTGTCTCAAGAAACCAACAAAAGAAAAGAAAAAGAAAAAATTTAAAAGCTCCGTGTGGAGCCAGGTGTTGGTGGCACACGCCTTTAATCCCAGCACTCGGGAGGCAGAGGCAGGTGGATCTCTGTGAGTTCGAGACCAGCCTGGTCTACAAGAGCTAGTTCCAGGACAGCCTCCAAAGCCACAGAGAAACCCTGACTGGGAAAAACTAAAAAAAAAAAAAAAAGTTCCGTGTGGTATGTTGGACCTGTATTTCCAGCACTTAGGAGTGGAGGCAGAGGATCAGTTTTTTTTTTTTTTTTTGGTTTTTGTTTTTTTGTTTTTTTTTTTTGAGACTGGGTTTCTCTGTGTCGCTTTGGAGTCTGTCCTGGCACTGACTCTAGAGACCAGGCTGGCCTCGAACTCACAGAGATCCGCCTGCCTCTGCCTCCCGAGTGCTGGGATTAAAGGCATGCGCCATCAATGCCTGGCAAGGTTCAGTTTAAAACCTTCCTTTGCTACATAGTGAGTACCAGGCTAGCCTGGGTTACAAGAGACCATTTCTTAACAACACCGCCTAAATCAGGCCGTGTATTCCCGAGGCTTTTCCTCCACTAAGCTGTGAGCTCACCACCAAGTGTCCAGTTTGTTTCTAATTGTTCTCCTCAGGAGATTAGCACAAATATCAGTGATTTTGGACCTCTTGTAGAATCTGGATAAAATGAGATGGAACAGAAAGAGCAAATAGTTAACCATAATCAGTCCAAGATGAAAAACAACTTGTTCATTCTCTTATGTAGCTTTCCTTCCACATGTATTAAGAATGCCCTTTGCTTTTTTATCTGGAATGACAACAAAAGACTTTTTTTTTCCTGTTCTGTAATCCAGCCCCAAACTGGAACCAGATGTCTTGACTTCCATTTGCCAAATAGCACTTCCTCTTATTAAATAAAACAATAGGACCCAGGCATGGTGGTACTGGTCTATAATTCCATAACTGACAATGGGAAGGTGGTATCCTGAGGTTCAGGGGTTCAAGGTTGTTCTTGGTTTGAGGCCAGTCTGGGTTTTTGAGACTTCTTCTCAAAAAACAATATGCAAAAAACCAACATAAGGAAGCAGTGTATCATACTGACTAAAACAGAATGGGGTTTACAGTCAGACTTAGTTATAACATTTGTGATGTGTTACTTCATGGTTAGCCTTTGTTTTCCTCTTCTATAAAATATAAATATATTAGCTCTTACTACATAAGACTGTTCAGAGCATTAAATGTCAGTTCCTTGTCTGACACCTAAGAAAAAACCTTTATGAAGAATATTTATTTTCCCCATTATGAATCATTAACCTTTCTGCACATACAGCAGTTTCTCTGCAATTTTAATTTACTTGTTTTTAAACAAAAAGACCTTTTAATAATGACTATCTTCATCCTCCCAGCATCTATCAGTAAGATGGATTGACTTGATCTTTCACATACTTCTCCAGGGCTGCCACAGCTGCGGTCTAGCCTTTTGTACCAGAGGAAACTTGAACCCATCTTCTAGCTCCTAGCCCTTCTGAGTGTTCTCCCCATGATCACCACAGCATTTTTAACAAACATCTGTTTGTTACTGCCCTGCTTGAAACAGGGCAGCAATATGAAATGATATCTAGTTCCTCTTTCTGTTGCCCTCAGCAGACTGGTGCTTAACTGCAACTCTGTCACCACCCTTCTTCCTTCCTTAGACTAAACAACTGAGATGTCCCCAAGTGCCAGTGCTTTTTGCTCTAGGTCAGTGCTATCTGGTAGAAAATTCTTTCGAGACGGATTAAATTCCCTTGATAAATTCCTCTGATAGCCACTGGAAGTGTTGTTGTTGCGCTTAGGGATGTAGCTAGTACTGCTAAGAAGCTGACTCTGTTGATTTTAGTTAAATGTCACTCCTGTGTCAGACAGGACAGCTGGTCCAGAACTTCTGGGTGCACTCTTTTTTTTTTTTTTTTTTTTTTTAAGGCTACACTTGGGGATTTTGAGATAAGATCCTATTCTACATCCCTAGCTGACCCTGAACTCACTATGTAGCACCCCCTCCTGCCTCAACCTTCCAAGTGCTGGGATTATCAGTGTATGCTGCTACTACTTCTGGCCCTTCAAGTACCGAGCACGCACGCATCCTGGCTATTGGCTACTTGACCATCAGATTTCAGCTTACTACTTGAAGGAGACTTTTTCTGTCTTATCAGTCTGTTTTTTAACTTTGGCATAGTTGGCTGTGCCTTAATCTAATGCTATTTCAGCCAATATTTGCAACTCCACAGTTACCAGCCTGCTTCTCTGGCAGTGGCCTGGCTGCTCCAGCCATACCTTGGTGGGAATTCTGTTCCCTCAGGCACTTACTCAGTTGCTGCCACTAAATGTAGCTTTAACTGAATCTCTGTCTATTTATAAATAAGACTATAGAGATTCAAAGGCTGGGTGAAAACCTGCTATCTCAGAGAGGCTGAGTAGCAACAGCTAACTTTCAACTTTGCTGGAGTCTCCCCAAAAGAGAGTGTCCTTGTGTTCCACAAAAACAAAGAGAAATGTGCCACTCCAAATCCTTCCCTACTACTTATGGTGTGTCTTTGTCTCTTTCTGATGCTCTGTGATTACTTTCTGTCAACTAGACGCTAACTCAGCCTCCTGACTCAAGGTTAATTTTATTTAATTAATGCAAATGCAAATTCTAGGTTCATAGTGTGATTGAATATCCCCCAATATTTTCTTCTTTTTGTCTAAATAAAAAGGACTGGTTTAAACTCTTAACACAGTAAAATACCATTTTGCATTTGGCAAATTCAGAAAAACTAATCTGTCATATCTTGGTGAGTCCAAAGTTTGGTACCCAATTCACTTTATTTATTTATTTATTTATTTATTTTTGGTTTTTCGAGACAGGGTTTTGGTTTCTCTGTGGCTTTGGAGGCTGTCCTGGAACTGGCTCTTGTAGACCAGGCTGGTCTCGAACTCTCAGAGATCCGGCCTACCTCTGCCTCCCAAGTGCCGGGATTAAAGGTGTGCGCCACCACCGCCTGTCCCTAATTCACTTTCTATCCTAACTTGTATTATCAACCCCAAACTATCTTTTTAGACCTCCAAACATTTTCTAGGTAAATAATTTAAGCTTTTATGTCTCTCAATCTTACACCCTTTTTACCTCTTTTGTGAGTTTCTTTTCTGAATTTGGTAACAAGGAAAACTGTAACTATAACCATTTCATCTTCAGCTCCGTCAGAGACGGAAGAAGGATATAATGTTACCTGAGTAAACAGGAATTGCAGGGCAAACAACTTCCAAAATTATAGACATGACAGAAGCAGCTGGCTGCCTGGACAGTCACTGAAATTCCTCTTCAATGTTGTGGCATCCATCTTTAGTCTACAGGCCTAGAATATCTGACAGACTTTTCTGTGAAGCAGGATTTTTGAAGGACAGTCCTACCTTGTCTTGGCAGAGTTCAGCAGTTGTGCTGAAAAAGTTCAAAGTTCTTTTGTGTCCTGCTCATCCAGTTTAGACAGCAAACCATCAGCATTCGATGCAAGGGCAGTTTCTTGCCCAGTAACTAGCTTTGCCACAACAAAAGCAAACTCCATTTGGAGGTTCTTTGAGTCCCATTATCCGTTTTTGAAGTAAATTGATGCTGTCATGAGCAGATGTGCCTCACTGTCATGAAAAGCCTCACGATATTAAGACATCTTAAATGCTATATTCTATAGGTCTCTGAAGTGTTTGAAGACCACCTATCTAAATTATATCTATGTTTAACCTTAAAACATAACTACAAATTTATTATAGATGACTAACTACTGTATTTCTTAATTATGCATTACATTTTTAAATGAGGTACATAAGTAAAACACCTTAAACAAGAGCAGAAACATATACATTATAACAAAAATAACCTTAAATTTGTATCAGTATACAAAAATCTTTATCAGTGTGAAATATTTGAGATTAATAGCTGCTTTTTAGTTTAAAGTAAATTCAATAATCTAAGCTTTTATACTATTCCTTCTATCTATCTAAATGACGAAATTTTCTGTTACTTTTGTCTTATAACTGCTGTTTTCCTATATAATTTTAATCACAGCCAAGAGCATACAACTTTATAGTTGGTAGCCCTCACCTATAGTCCCAGCACTTAGGAAGGGTGAGATGGGCAGATAAGATGAAGGTCAAGCCTGGCCTACAAGGACTGTACTTGATTTGTTTACCATTATGTAATCAGTGTCACTAAGGTCAGTGTTTAGCACTTAGCAGAAGTTCTGTAATTCCATGAAATGAAAGGACATGCCAAAACATGTCTGCTTTCCAAAATACCATAGGCTGTGGGGAGCCATGTCCAGGTGGTGTTTCTGTTTGCTTTCATCTAGTCAGTCAAACTGAAAGATACCTCAGCTTACACACTCCCAGAGACTACTGAGAGAACATTGGGCCTACATATAGGTGTCTGTCTGTCTTTGGAAAATCCTAACTCTTATTGTACCTATTGCTTTTCTGGTGGCATAATATAGACTTAGAGGGTGTATCTTACTTTATCTACTTGCATATATAATATAAGTTCCATAGTATTCACACACACACACACACACACACACACACACACACACACATATATATATATATATATATATATATATATATATCTGAAATTTCATGTCACAAACAGCACAGAATCTAGCATATAATAGTTGATGAAATGCTGGCCATGCTTTGAAAGCTGCAGCATTATTTATGATGATAAAGTGAAATTCCTGCTTCACTTTGTGAATACAAAGTTAACTGAAGTTCCAGAAAAGACCATATAAAAATTCAAGAATGGATACAATGGAAGGCCAACATGTGACCGATGGTTTATTAAATACTATCTGTCTTAGTTCTTTTTAAATTGCATATAATTCTCTTCCTGTATCTGAAAAGATTGTTTTCCCAGAATCTCCACATTTCTGGAAGATGGGAAATAACAGTAATGGAGAACAGGGAGCAGAAAGGAGAAAGTAAGCATGGTTGTTTTTCAGTTTGTGGGAAACTTTCTAACTTGGAAAGCAAAAATCCATGATGTACAAGTGTACATTTGCAGGTGGATTCTGAAGAGCCAGTCTTTGAGGCTGTTATCAACTGGGTGAAACATTCCAAGAAGGAGCGAGAAGAATCCTTGCCTGACCTCTTACAGTATGTTCGGATGCCCCTGCTGACCCCCAGGTACATTACAGATGTGATAGATGCTGAGGTAAGTATGTAAGGCTATGGGTATCCAGAACCTTCATTAACTCCACAGCTTAGTTTGTATAATTGAAAACCAATATTTTTAACATAGGGTCACCTGGTTCCCTTCAGCAGGAATGCTGGAGAGATAAAGCTGGGAACTTCTTAGGTATAAGAAAAGGTAATTGCAGGCTGGGAACATGGCTCAGCAGTTAAGAGCACTGGCTGCTCTTCAGAGGACCTGGGTTCAATTTCCAGCACCCACATGGCAGCTTATAACTGTCTGTAACTCCAGTTTCAGGGAATCTGACACCCTCACACAGACCTGTATGTAAACAAAATACAAATGTACATGAAAAAAAGAAATGTTAATTGCTTAGCATGTCAGGCTTCTGTCACAAATGTAAATCCACAATTTAATTTTGTGTGTAGGGGGCAGTGTAAACCACACCTGCTAGAAGCTGGCTACAGGTGTGCCTGACCACGCCTGTTAGGGCGTGGTCAAGGTGAGGTCAGGAGACGAGTGATAGGGTTTTACGGGGCTGCAAGGCACATGGGAGCCCCTTCTCTCTGGCCTCCCTGCCTTGTTGCCCCTGGCCTTGGGCGCCAAATACTAAGAAATAAAAGGATCCTGGGATAAGGATATCTTTTATTAGAAAAACACCAGCCAAACGCAAGCCAGAGCATGCCAGTACATTCAATACTTCAGCAACTTGTTACAGATTAACAGAGTGTAAGCAACCAAGGTATTTTTGCTCAGCCAGTTCTTTTATTGGCAGGCTGCATTTTGTGGTTACAAAGAAAGGATTGAGCCAGGCGTTGGTGGTGCATCCCTTTAATCACAGCACTCGGGAGGCAGAGGCAGGCAGATCTCTGTGAGTTCGAGGCCAGCCTGGTCTCCAGAGGGCGTGCCAGGATAGGCTCCAAAGAGACACAGAGAAACCCTGTCTCGAAAAACCAAAAAAAACCAAAAAACAAAAAAACAAAGAAAGGATCGATCATTTTATTACTTATCTCAAAAGGTAATTTTATGAGGAATCTTAAAAGAATCAGAAATCGGGCTGGAGAGATAGCTTAGAGGTTAAGAACCTCTTCCATCCTTAGTTCAATTCCCAGCAACCACATGGGGGCTCACAACCATCTATAATGAGATCTGGTGCCCTCTTCTGGGATGCAGGCTGAACACTGTGTACATAATAAATAAATAAATAAATAAATAAATAAATAGATAAATAAATAAATCCTAAAAAAAAAGAATCAAAAATCTAAACTTTTATAAATGAAAAAGAATTAGTCAGCTCTATTGTAAAATCTTAGAGTGTATCCATCCCCACTCATCAACAGACTTATATATCAGGAAGCTAAGGGCAGAAATGGATACAAGGAATTAATCATCACCCTTGATCACCAACCCATCATACAAGAAAAGTACGTCAGCCAGCAATAGCCAGGCTGCCTGCCATTGTTCTTGTTTCTTGACCTCAATGAGTCCCTCACTCAGCTACTCAAAGTGTGCCTTTCTAAACTTTTAAGTTGTTTTCCAAGATTTTTTAACCCAAAGCCATTAACAAAATCGTCTTAATCTAACCTTAAGTCATTATTTAAGGCTTTGTTTTAGCTATGATGCACACTGAAACCTGTGAGCACATCTCCCAACATTAAGATTAAAAGAACTTGAGCTAGATAGGCTTCTGGGATTCATTGTTTCTCTTAATCATTAACCTAAGCCACAGTCTGCATGGCTCCTCAAGAGACATCAGCTGTGTGACATATCCTTGTTCTATTTTTCTATCCGTTGCAGCCCTTGTTTTATCAGGGTCGGGGTGGGGCGCTGAAGAGGAAATCATCTTAATAATCCATAGGAAGCAGGGCAGTCAGTGGTGGCTCACGCCTTTAATCCCAGCACTCGGGAGGCAGGAGGATCTCTGTGAGGTCAAGGCCAAGCCTGGTCTACAGAGTGAGTGCCAAGATAGGCTCCAAAGCTACACAGATAAACTGAAAGAAGTATTTTTTGCTAGGTCTGTTGTGGTGAAGGCCTATAATCTCAACTGTTGGTAGAGGGAGGCAGTAGGATCAATAGTTCAAGGCCAGCCTAGACTAAATGAGACCCTATCTTAAACAAATAATCAAAAAATAAGGACCTCCCCTAAATTAAAAAAAAAAAAATTCAGGCTAGTTAGTGTCACATCTTCAATTCATTTTCTGCTATTTGTGGTTTCTTTTTTAAAACATCTATTGGTTAGTCTTCCTCTTGCTGTGACAGAGTACCTGACCAAGCAACTTAAGGAATAAGGGAAGGTGCAGTGAGTCCCATTGTAAGTCAGAGCTCACCCTGAAGAAGGCAGCAGGGAGAGCATGAAGCAGTGGGTCACATGCACCACAGTCAGGGAGTAGAGAAAGGGATGCTGGCACTCAGCTGAACTTCTCCCAGCCCATGAGACAGTGTGGCCCACATCAAGGGCAGGTCCTACCTCTTCAGTTCAACCTCGGTGGGAACACCCTCATGGACACACCCATTTGAGTGTTTCCTAAACCAGTCAGGTTGATGGTAAGGTAACCTTTACACGTTCCTGTCTAGGTCTTTACATTGTGATTTGGTACATAGATTCTGGAACCAGAATCAGGAGGCTGCGGTCCTAAATCAAGTGTTCTGTGTGGCCTTCAGGGAGATGATCAAAGGTTTTTCTCTCTGTGAAGCAGAACTGACTTCACCCCCTCATACATTGTTGCCAGTATTCATATGCAAAAACTTTTAGAGTCATGTCTTGTGTGACAGTATTCATTGCTATTATTTATTTTCTCTTCCAATGCATTACCAAAAATATGTTGGAGTTAAGCTAATAAACAAGAACTTCTATGAGTTAGCGACCCTAACTGGAAACATGGTGTGCTCCAGATGGTACGGTTCTGAGGAAGATGTATTGTATAAAGGAGCTGTCTAAAAGGTATAAATTTGGAGAAATAGTAGAAGACAGTGGAAGACGATAGATCCAGAACAGCTAAGCTGCTAACAGCTCTCAGTCTGAACAGCCTGGCTGGAGAAGTGGTTTTCAGAACCTGAAGGGATAGAGTAGGTAGAATCACTGCTTTAAGAGGAGCCTTGACCTTCAGTGGGACTCATCCCAGCTAGAACCCAGTGTGGAGATGTTACTGACAGTTTGTATGGATGCCAGAGAGCAAACAGAGAATCTGTGGAAGCAGATGCTAATAAGAGTTCTCTTTTCTATGTGAGTATATGTGTATGTACATGGGGGCCAGAGGTCACTCTTGGGTGCTGGTCCTCAGGCCATCTGCCTTGTTTTTTAAGATATGATCTCTTATTGGTTGACCTGGAGTTTATGATTGGGCTGGCAACAAGCCCAGAGATCTGCCTGTCTTTCTGCTAGTGTAGGGTAGGTAACATGTCTGGCTTTTTATGTGGGTTCTGGTGATGGAACTCATGCCATTATGCTTTCATGGTGAGCAATTTACCAAAGTGAGCCATCCTTCCCATTCATATAGAGAGAGCACTGTTGGATATAGATGTAGGAGCTGGTCTAATAATGAATGCATGCCTGTAATCACAGCACTCAGGAGGGGAAGGCAGGAGCAGCGGGTATTTAAGTTTCCTAGGCTGTGTTGTAAGTTTGAGACCACTCTGACCTACAGGGACACTGTCAGAAAGAAAGGGTGAAGAAGGGGAAGGGTGGGGAAGAAGAAGGCAGGGAAGGAGAGAGACCCTTAGGGGAATTATTTCAGAGAAGACATATTTATCTAAAAGAGAAAGCATGTCTTTTTGAGACAGTGTCTCACTCTTACCTAGATCAGGCTGACTTAGAACTTAGTATGCCACTCTAAATTGGCCTTGAAATCTCAGAAATCCTTTTGTCTTAGCCTGCTAAGAGCTGGGATTACAGATGTGAGCCAACCATGCTCAGCTTCCCTTAAAATTCTTACTAACTGGGCTGGAGAGATGGCTCGGAGTTAGGAGCACTGGCTGCTCTTCCAGAGGTCCTGAGTTCAATTCCCAGCACCCACATGGTAGTTTTAGCCATCTGTAATGAGATTTGGTGCCCTCTTCCGTCATTCAGATGTACATGCAGGCAGAACACGGTGTATATAATTTAAAAAAAAAAAAAACTTCAAAAAAAATTCTTACTAATCCTTCCGTACTTGTCTACATCAGAAAATACTTCTTTATATGTGTCATTTTGTTTTTACAATATTAGAAGTAGCCTGTGTAGTTCACTCCTGTCTTTTGTATTTTAGCCTTTCATCCGCTGTAGTTTACAGTGCAGAGATCTAGTTGATGAAGCAAAGAAATTTCACCTGAGGCCTGAACTTCGAAGTCAAATGCAAGGACCTAGGACAAGAGCCCGTCTAGGTAAGCTGGTGCTCCTGGCGGAATGAAGGGACACTTTTTCAACTAACTCTTTTCAGGTGGTTTGATATAGTTGGAAATAACATCTGTAATGAATACAATGGACTTGTTTCAGATCATCTTTTAAACTTTTTAGATAAGTCGCTGCCATTGTAAGCTTTTATTTCCTAAAATCTGAGAGTATCGTTATGTCACATACCGTTGGAGATTAGAGAGAAAAATTTTTATAAATTATCATATATTATGTAGCATTAAATTTTTGCTTCACATTTAAACAAAGGGCTTAGAGCTGGGGTTGTAGCTCAGTTGGTAGAATGCTTTCCTTAGCCCTGGGTTCGACCCCAGCACAATATAAACTGGATGTGGTGGTAAATGCCTATAATTGGGATGTAGAGGCTGGCAGAAGATTAAGGTCATCCTTGGGTACAAACAAAGTTAAAAGCCAGCATAAGACACTGTCTCAAACAAACAAAAAATCCTAAAAGTACAATGCTTCTGCAGGCACATATAATAGATAAAAGTCCTGACCTTTGAGGCAGTTTACTACTTACCTTAGACGAGAAGTTTAATCTGTCTGTGCGTCAGTTGCCTTATCTGCCAACTGGGAATCAACATAGCTCTCAGAAAGTTACAGTGATTAAATGAAGAAATCTAGATAAAGGCTAGGATAGTAACTGTCACATAAGTACTTCCTATGTTAGCTATAATTTTAGCAAACAGACATATGTTCAAATTTTAAGCCCCACCAGTGGCTAATTGGTGATATCAATTTATCTGATCTTAACTGGATATGGTGGCACTCACCATTAATCCCAGCACTCAGGAGGCTGAGTCAGGTTGATCTCTAAGTTCAAGACCAGCTTGGTCCACACAGTGCAGGACATCCAGGACTACATAGTAGACTCTGTCTCAAACTAAGTAAAACAAAACTTACTTGATCCTTTGCTTTTTACCTCTAAAATGAGGGTTAGTTTCTTCTCCCTGGGGCGCTGGGAGGATTGCATGAGACCATAGATAAGATACCTAGTATTGTGGCTGGTGCAGAGCAAGTGCTCAGCTATTCTTTTCTCATTCACTGTTCTCACTTCTCTGTAACAGAGCCTTGCTGCCACTATGTAAAAGTGTTTGTAAAAGATTATCAATTATTCTGTAAATAGGAGGTGCTGTTTCATTTACTTTTATTTATGTATTTTGTTTTTTGAAACAGGGTTTCTTTGTGTAGCCCTGGCTAGCCATAACTACCTCTGTAGACCAGGCTGGCCTCAAACTCAGAGATCCTCCTGCCTCTGCCTTCAGTGCTGGGATTAAAGGTGTGCATCAACATACCTGGTTTTACCTTTATTTATTAAGGATTTATTTTATTTTATATATTTGAGTGTTTGCCTATATGCATGTATGTGTACCATATGTGCTCAGTGCCCACAGAGGCCAGAAGATGGCATTAGATCCCCCGGAACTAGAGTTATTACTGTTGTGAGCCACCATTGGGTGCAGGGAACAGAACCGGTCCTCTGTAAGAGGAGTTAAGTACTCTTTAGCACTGAGCCATCTTATCAGCACCTAAAGTTTTACATTATTTCCTTTTCTTACTTTTGATTTTAGAATTCATGTATGTTAGGTAGGATATTGATAATCAAGCTGTCTATTTATAGAAGTATATAGTTGATTACAAAGTGGAGTCAGAGATAGGTTGATAACCAGTAGTTTATTGAGGAAAGTACTCACGAAAGGGAGCCAGTGACCAGGTTTGCACTTGAGCAGGACAGACCCAGAAATGCTTCCCAGTCAGCTCAGCCAGGCGAAAGAGAGAGCCTCGTGCTCACTTCCCTGGTTCTCAAACCCCTTGACCACCCCAGCAGGTGTGTTCAGTGGTATCTCAATCAGGGTTTCTCCCTACAGAAGTGTTTATTTTATTTCTTGTGATTTTTGTGTGTGTGTTTATTTCTCATGTTTTTTTATTTTGTTTTCAAGATTTGTTTTTTCCGTGTATATTTGTCTGTGTCTATATGAACATCTGCCACCTGTGTTCTGTTTCTCAGGGAAACAGAAGATAGAGTCAGATCCCCTGGAGCTGGAGTTACAGGCAGTTATGAGCCACCTGATGTGGGTGCTAGAAACCAATTCCTCCAAATTAATAGTGTGAACTTTTAACCACTGAGCCATCTCTGTAAACCCCTCTTTGTTGTTTTTAATGGAATTCTTCCCAGTAAAAAAAAAAATTGTTTTATTTTATGTATGTGGGTATTTTGCCTGGATGGAGAACATCTGTATACCGTGAAGGTCATAAGAGGGTGAAAGGTGGCCCTAGAACTGGAGTTCGACAATTGTTAGCTACCATGTGACTTCTGGGAATCAAATTTCTGTCCTCTGGAAGAGCAGCCAAAGTTGCTCTGAATCACTGCCATCACTGAGCCATCACTCCAGCCCCACCTCCAGTGTTTTTTAATGTCACAAATGCTATTTGTTTAATGTTAAAATACATAGAAGTAGAGGTAGGAGGGAAATCTGTGGTTGGAATGTAAAATGAAATTTAAAAAATGGAAAAAAATACATAGAAGCAAAAAAAAAAAAAAAAAACAAAACTCAAATCCTACCACACAGAGATACATATATAAAGAAAGAGAAGGAGAGAGGAAGAAAAAGAACTGGGGCTTGAGAGACCACTTAGGGTTAAGTGCACTTACTGCACTTGCAGAAGACCCACATCAGGCAGCTAGCTCACTACCACCTACCACTCCAGTTCAGGGGATCTGACACCCTTTTCTGGTCTCACAGACACCTGCACACCCGTGCTACTCATCAGCTCATGCAGGAACACACACACACACACACACACACAAAGACACATGGGGCTGGAGAGATGGCTCAGCAGTTAAGAGCACTGACTGCTCTTCCAGAGGACCTGGGTTCAATTCCCAGCACCTACGTGGCAGCTCACACCTATCTGTTTATTCCAGTTACAAGGGATTGGACACCCTCACATAGAAATACATGCAAGCAAAACTCAATGCACATAAAATAAAAAATAAATGAAATTTTTAAAAATTATATATATAATATATATTATATATATACATATAATATATATATTATATATATTATATATATATGTTGGTAGCGGGCATTGGTGGCGCACGCCTTTAATCCCAGCACTCTGGAGGCAGAGGCAAGCGGATCTCTGTGAGTTCGAGGCCAGCCTGGTCTCCAGACTGAGTGCCAGGATAGGCTCCAAAGCTACACAGAGAAACCCTGTCTCGAAAACAAACAAACAAACAAACAAAAAAAAAAACAAAAAACTGGTTGGTGGTGGCACATGCCTTTAATCCCAGCACTCGGGAGGCAGAGTCAAGCAAATCTCTGTGAGTTTGAGGCCAGGCTGGTCTACTGAGCAAGTTCCAGGAGATGCTCCAAAACAATACAGAGAAACCCTGTCTCAAATAAACGCCCCCCCCAAAAAAAAAAGAAAAAGAAATAAATATAAAAAAAAGTCTGAAAACACAAGTTACAGGAAAATGTTGGTATACCTCTGTCCCTTTTTTGTTTGATGTGGTTTGCAGGATTTGTCTTGTTTTGCTGTTTTTAGATAGGCTCTCATACTTGTAGCCCTCCATAGACTGACCTTGAACATGAGCAATCCTGCCTCCACCTTCTAAATTCCAGGATTACAGGTATAAGTCACCACATCCATTTTCCTTTTCTAATTATTAGTAACTTTTCTAACCATATAAATGGTATTAAATATATTCATATTACTGAGCCAAGAGGAAATTATACCAACCATATACTTACTGCCCTTATCCTAAGTGTTCTTGGTGGAATGGGGGAGGGGGATAGTAAGCAGTGTTCAATTATGTAAGGATGGATATGTTTATCACAGATTGTTGATATTTCCAAAAAAAGGGGGTATATGTAACCCAAGTTCTGTCTGTAGAGAGAGAATGGTTGAGTGGATTATAATACAGCTGTACAGTGGGATATTGTGGAGCTATGTAAAACATTGAGTCATGTATGCATAGCTGGGACTTTTTTTCATTACTTTATTATCTGTTGTGCATACACCTTGGCATGTGTGGAGGACAGAGGACAGCTTGCAAGAGTCAGTTCTTTCCTCCAGATGGGTCCAGGGGTCCAACTCCAGGTTCTCAGGCTTGATGGTAATTTTTTTGGCCCCCGGTTTTTTTTTTTTTTTTTTTTTTTTTTTTTTTTTTTTTTTTTAATGCATTGGCCCCAGTTTTTTTTCTTTTTTCCTTTTTTTTTTTTTTTTTTTTTCTGTTTTGAAATAGAATCTTGCTCTGTAGCCCCGTTTGACCTACAGTTCTTAGTTCTCTTGCTTGCACCTCTTAAGTAGCTGGACCACAAGCCTGTGCCACCAGCACCAAGCTGTGCTGACTGCATATCTAAGGAAAAACAACACTGTCATTTTTAAATGGGCATATAGCTCAGTGATGGAGTGCTTGCCTCGAGTGGGAGGCCTGGGGTTTCATCCCCAGTACTTAAAGGCAGAAGCTCTTGAATACTTATTTGTAGAAGCAAAGACCCACCAAACAGCCTTTAGCAGGATCATGCCACAGGTGGGATGGCAAGGGCAGGGTAGCAATTCACATTTAATTTGCATACCTCAGCATTATTCCAGTCAACATGTGGTTACCTTTGTTGTTTTAAAAATAATGTCTAGAGTCTATAACTCAAAATAATAATAAAGATTTATGTATTTTTTATATATGAGTGCTCTGTCTGCATGTATGCCTGCATGCCAGAACAGGGCATCAGATCCCATTATAGATGGTTGTGAGCCACCATGTGGTTACTGGGAATTGAACTCAGGACCTCTTGAAGAGCAGCCAGTGCTCTTAACTGTGGAGCCATCTCTCTAGCCCAAAAATAATATTTCTAGGAAGTATGTGAGCCAGTGATTGAGCAGGAAGAACTGGCACTAAAAAGCATTTTGTGCCATTTGACCATTATTCCTAAATTACATTTATAGTATGGTTTATTTTCATTTTTATCTTTTGTGGTGCTGAGCTGTATCCCACCCCCCTTCCTAGTTCTGTAAAGTCCTAGGAAGCTATGTGGGCTGTTCTTTCTCAAAGCCACCAGTTTTTGTTCACATAAAGTGAGTTAAGTTCACTTGCTAGAGTGCTTTCGAGTATAGAAGGTATGGCTTTTTATATAATAACTGTAAGGGACACCATAACCACGCCTGCTAGGGGCTGGCTACAGGTGTGCCTGACCACGCCCAGGCATGGTCAGGGTGACCTAGGGAAGGTTCAAGAGTAAAAGCCCCTCCTTCTGTTTCATCTTCGGCTTGCTGTACCTACTCATGCCCTGCTGGCTGGCTAGTTTGCTCTGTAAGTAAGGCTTCTCCCTAATAAATACCCTTATATTTAAAAAAGGGGGGGAGGGGCTGGCTAGCAGGCATGGTTACAGTGTCTCCTACAAATAACATTCATTAATTTCTTACTAAATTGAACTAAAGCCAATGAAGATTTTATGAGCCAGAAAGCACAAAAGGTTCCCCCAGGTTCATTTTCTAAATTTCTTTAAATACTTTGCAGATCAAAGCTTTCAGGAAACTGCCTGTTGCCCTGGCCTTGAGGAATTAGATTCAGTTTTATGTAATTCATAGCTTTGAGGACAATGCAGAAGGTATTTTTGATTAGATTGCTTTTGATTTTCTTAAAGGCATGCACCAGCTTACACATAAATCTTGCCAGGTGTCCTAGACATGCTTTTTTCATCAAGAAGATAAAAATAACTGTCCAATCCTAGTGGTATAGGCCTATAAAATCACAGCTGTTCCAGAGGCTGGGCAGGAAGGATTTTACATTCGAGACTGCACCAAGTAAATTCAGACATTTTGTGTCTCAAGATGTAAGTTCAAAAATAGCTGGAGATGGCCTGGTGATGGCAGTGCACACCTTTAGCTCCAGCACTCTGGAGGCAAAGGGCAACAAATCTCTGAGTTTGAGGCCAGCCTCTCTATAGAGAGAGTTCTAGGATAGGCAGGGCTACAGCAAAAAGAAACCCTGTCTCAAAAAACAAAAAAGGAAATGGGGGGGGGGGGCAGACAATGACGACGGACTGGAGATATAGCTCAGTGAGAGAGAGCACTTACCTAGCATATGTGAGTCCCTGAGTTCAATCCCACATACCAAAAAATAAAAGATAAAAATCATCTGACACATCTGACTGGGTGTGTTGGCAGGTGGATCTCTCAGAGTTTAGGACCAGCCTGGTCAGCATAGTGAGTTCCAGGCCAGCTGGAACTACATAAAGAGACCTGTTCTCAAAAACAACAAAACCACCTGGCATAGTAGTACACACCTGTGTCACCAGTACTTGAGATGTTGAAGCAGGAAAAATCACAAGCTTGGGACCATCCTGAGCTATATATACCTAGATCCTATCCATTTGCCCCAACTCCAAAGAAAAAGGTTTTGCTGGCTGGCTCTTACTGGAATTCACTAAAGCTTGCTTTATTAGCGGTCTTATCTTTTTGGATTCGAGCCTAGCATAGCCTTTAACAGCTAAGTCATCTCTAAAGCCTGGATAGCAGTATTTTAAAACTGTATGTCTGAGGAAAATTACAGAAGTTCTTTATAGCAAAGTTTGGGGTCCAGTGATCCATATTCCTAGCATGTAAACCTATGAAATACCTAAGTAGGTAGGCATGGTGACACATGCCTACAGTCTCAGTCCTTGAAAGGCAGAAGCAGGAGACAGGCAGGCCAGGCTAGCCTCAAACTCATAGAGGTCTGCCTGCTTCTGATGTGGTTTGGTTTTTGTTGCTTTTACATGTGGGAACTAGATAGTGTAACATAAATAATATAACTGAAAAAAAAATCAATGAAAAACTTGCCATATTTTTCTGATCATGTCCTTATAGTGTCACTTAATATGTTTTAGCCAGATGTGATGTGGTACATGCTGAGGTAGGAGAATCACTTGAGTTGAGGAGTTAGAGACCAGCCTGTGGAACACAGTGGAACCTGGTCCCAAAGAATTGAAGAGGGGGTGGCTAATACTTTCCATCCATCCCTGGTTACCTATAACATTGACATACTGCTTGTTGTTTGCTTTTTTTCCAATACAGAGTTTCTTTGTGTAGCTCAGGCTGTGCTGGAACTAGTTCTGTAGACCAGAGTGGCCTTGAACTCAGATATCCATCTGCCTCTGTTTCCTGAGTGCTGGGATTAAAAGAGTGTGCCACCACCCCTGACCTGACACGATGTTTATAAGCCCACCTAGTTACTGCATTGTCCGGGGCACCAAATTGTTCACCTTATAAGCTAACAGAGTAGATGCCCAGGAGAACTCTGTGAAGACAACTCTTTAAAGAGAGCCATGGCCAGAAATAAGACTGTAAGGGAAGAAGAGTTTGATATATTGGCTGTTACTTCCTATAAGAAAATAAAGGGGCTTTCTTCCTTTGTTCTTTTTAACATTTTGTGTGTTGGGGGTGCACATGTGGACAACTTGTGGGAGTCAGCTATCTCTTTTTACCACATAGTTTCTGGGGCTTGAACTCAGGTCACCAGGGTTAGCAACAAATGTCTTTTCCCATGGAGCCATCTTGGGGACCCAGGACTTTATTTTATGCTGGGTAAGTGCATTGCAAAGATGTAGATTCTGGAGAGTTACAGCCTCAGAAAGAAGTACCTGGAGGTGGCTCAGCTGGCAAATGTTGCTCAAGCATGAGAACCTGAGTGTGGTTCTCAACTCTCCATAAAAACGACAGGCATGGCATGGCAGCCTGCATCTGTGAGCCAGGTGCTGCAGAGGTGCAGAGGGAGGCCCTGAGGCTGCTGGTGAGCCTGGTCAGCGTAATCACAGAGCTCCAGGCTTCAGTAAGACTGTCTCCAAATGTCTCCAAAGATAAGGCAGAGAGCAGTATAGAGGGAAACACAGAAAGCACAAGGTGGAACCATGGCGAGAACGTGTGTGTGTGTGTGTGTGTGTGTGTGTGTGTGTGTGTGTGTGGTTCTATACTGCTGTCTGCCTTATAATATTAATTGTGGGGTAAGATTGGTTACAGGTTAGTGGTAGAACATTAAGACCTTAGATACAATATTTAGTGCCACCAAAAAAGACGTCCTTAACCTATTTGAACCTTTCTACTTACATTTCCCCAGGACGAAGTAACCTGCTTTTTCCTGCCTTTGTCCTTAGGAGCCAATGAAGTGCTTCTGGTGGTTGGGGGCTTCGGAAGCCAGCAGTCTCCTATTGATGTGGTGGAGAAATATGACCCCAAAACACAGGAGTGGAGCTTTTTGCCAGTAAGTCATGATGGAACCGTTTTCAGCAGAGTAAATGTCATTGGTTCCTGATAGTAGATCACAAATGATCAGCTTTGAGAGTAGAAAAGCTTCAGAGGGCATAGTGTCCCTTATGGCCGTGTTGTATGTATAGTTAGGTATCTAATAGATGGTTGATTTTCTTTTCTTTGGATGGTAGTGGTTGTTTCTTGGATTTTTTCCTGTTTCTTTCTTTCTTTCTTTTTAAATATGTATCCATACATGTGAACATGCCTATGCCATAGCATGCGTGTAGAGGTCAGAGATCTTTCAGGGATCAAATTTAAGTCATCAGCCTTGGCAGAAAATACCTTTACTCACCAAACCATCTTGGTGGGGGTTTTTTGTTTTGTTTTGTTTTGTTTTGTTTTGTTTTTAAACAAAGTCTCACTATGTAGCTCTCACTTGCAGGCTTTCTTCCTTCCTCAGCCTCCTTAGTGCCAGGGTTACACATGTGAGCCACCACACTTGGCTTGTTTTTTTGAGATAGGGTCTTGCTTGTATATCTCTGGCTGTCCTGATATTCAGTCTGTGTCCCACGCTGACCTTGAACTTGTGGCAATCCTGCTTCTGGCTGATAAATGCTGGCATTATAGGCATGTATACCACCACCACACCCAGTTTAGTTTAGACTCAACAGCTTGTGCCATTGGTCATGCCATAATAGATGGAACTCAAGGTTATGTAAAGCCTAACTGAAATGGTAAGTTTGTATTTCCCTTCACGGTTTCAGTATCACATAAACAAGAACCATCTCTGAGCAGACATGGAAAATCTTTTGGCCACTCTTACCCTTTACAGTATTTCAGTCCTGGCTCTTGGATTAGCAATATGCCAGTACTGTTCAGTCTCTTAGCCAGTGCCTTAAGAAAGAAGACAGTAGAAAACCATGAAGTCTTTTGTAAACCTTGGAAGGAAGCAGAAGGATTTCACTCTGTAGGCAGTCCAGCCTCTTTGGGATGAGCCTTAGCTGCAAGGAGGTTTCCAGTGGCAAGGAACAAGCAAAGAAGATAAAAAAAAAATAGGCAGGGTATTGAAAGAAAAGGTAGGGGCTGGAACTTGCCCATCTGAAATTCTATTATTTCTCTTCTCTCCAAAATCAATAGAGTATCACTCGGAAAAGACGATATGTGGCTTCAGTTTCCTTACATGATCGGATCTATGTAATTGGTGGGTATGATGGCCGTTCCCGCCTCAGTTCAGTGGAATGTCTAGATTACACAGCAGATGAAGATGGAGTCTGGTATTCTGTGGCCCCTATGAATGTGCGACGAGGCCTTGCTGGAGCTACCACACTGGGAGGTAGGTTTGATGACAAATGGTGTTTCCATCTTCTTTTAGCTGGATTATTATTCTTACCTCTTCCGCTGTCTGGCAGGAGCATGACATGTGAGGATAAGTGTTTAAGTTCAAATGCTCATTCAGTGTTAACTGAAGCTACTCATTATTTGTGGACATTTCAACACTGAGTACAAAATTGACCATTCAAGTTCTAGTGTGCTGTATGGTAATAGGCAATGGTTATATTTATATAAACTCCATTTGGGCAGTCTTCAAATGCTTTTAACTATGTTTTTCTTCTTTTTTTCTTTCCTTTTTTTCAAGACAGGGTTTCTCTGTAGCTTTTCTCTGTAGACTCTCCTGGAACTCACTCTGTAGACCAGGCTGGCCTCCAACTCACAGAGATCTACCTACCTCTGCCTCCTGAGTGCTGGGATCAAAGGCATGCACCACCAACACCCGCCACTTTTAACTATTTCTTAAGTATGTCATTGTACACCATTCTTTTCTGGTTACTTTTGCTTTTGGTTTTATTTTTTTTTTCTCTTGAAACAGTTTCACTATATAATAAAGCTCAGATTGATCTTAAACTCATAATCCACCTAACCTCTGCCTCAGCTTACTTAGTGCTGGGATTTCAGCTCTCTGTGCTACCTACCACGCCTGAGCTCTAGGGCTTAACAGCATGAGCCACCATGCCAGGTTTTAAATGTCTTGGTTGTACTATCTTTCTTGCTTCTGAGATTTAACTGACCTACCACGTGAGGGGAAAATGCTCAGAGTGCAAAATATACTTTTACAACAATGTACTTATGTAATGTCATACAGTACCATATACAATTCATATACATAATGGGAAATTTAAGAAATAATAAAAATCAACTTGAAGAAACTTGTTTGCTTAGGATAAGATCTCGTGTACCTCAGGCTGGCCTTGAACTTAGTCTGTAGTCAAAAATGGCCTTGCTCCCCCTACCCTCTCACCAAAAAAAAAAAAAAAAAAAAAAAAAAAAAAAAAAAAAAAAATCTGGAACAGTCTAGACAGGAAGATATTGAAGAGAGTCCTTTAAAATTGTGATAAAGGGGCTGGAAAGATGGCTCAGCAGCTAAGAGCACTGGCTGATCTTCTAGAGGACTTGGTTTAATTCCCAGAACCCACATGGCAGATCACAACTGTCTTCTGTAACTCCAGGATCCAACACCTCATACAAACATACATGCAGGCAAAACACAAATGCACATTAAATAAAAATAAATTTGGCTGGGTGGTCTAGGAGCACACCTTTAATCCCAGCACTTAGGAGACAGAGGCAGGTGAATCTCTGTCAGTTTGAGACCAGCCTGGTCTACAGAGTAAGTTCTACTAAGACAGCCAGGGCTACACAGAGTAACCCTGTCTTGAAATAGAAATAGAATGAAATGAATAAATAGATTTTTGAAAAACTTTTAATAAAGATGCTGAAGTGTGGCTCTTCACAGTTGATGGTTTCTATCAAGGGGATGGGAAAGGACTTAGTTTTCCATAAGGGACTGGGAGTTTGACCATTTACCACTGAGTTTATGGGCAACACAAATCGTACCTGGTATATTTTTTTTTCTTAAAATGTTTTTTTGCAGGGGGGGAGGTGGCATGGACAAGGGTGGGATGATAGACCTGAGAGGAATGAGAATTGAGCATGATCAGGGTGCACTGTGTGATATTCCCAAATAATCAATAAAAAATATTATGTTGGGGGTGAGAATGGCTTTGCACTCCTTATCCTCCTTCAAGAACCTCCCACGTGCTGTAATTACATTCATGTGTGTATGTGTCCCCTCCGCCATCTTAACAATGGGTAATTTGTAGAGAAAGTGGTTCTTAGAAGTTTCTCATTCTTAATAGTCTAATTTGTTCATTCTGAGCAGATATGATTTACGTCTCTGGAGGCTTTGATGGCAGCAGGCGTCATACAAGTATGGAGCGGTATGACCCAAACATTGATCAGTGGAGCATGCTGGGAGATATGCAGACAGCTCGAGAGGGTGCAGGACTAGTAGTGGCCAGCGGAATAATCTACTGTCTAGGTACGAGTCTGTGATGTGGGCTGGAGAGAGGCCGTGCTTAGCAGAATCTGGAGGGTATCACTTTTACCAGAATTAAGTGCTTGTACTTGCACCAACAAGAACTCTGGTCTATCCCAGTATGTCGTTCATGAATAGGATTATAGTTCTCTTGTAAGCAAAATGTAGGACATTGCCTATTTGAGCTGGAACTCTGGAAGAACTAAAACTGACTCAGTTGAATTACTCACAGAAGTACAACTAAAGCAAGCCGGAGTATCTGCCTTTCTTCCTGGAATATTCTCTGCTTTGTCTTTCAGGAGGATATGATGGCTTGAATATATTAAATTCAGTTGAGAAATATGATCCCCATACAGGACACTGGACTAACGTTACACCCATGGCCACCAAACGTTCTGGTAAGACCAGACCTCCGACAGGATGAAAGTGCTGACAGTCCTGGCATGTACAGTGTTGGTGTGGTTACAGGCTGTGGTGTCGGTAGGGTAGAACTGTAGTCCTCACTTCACCTTAGATAATAGGCACATTCCCGTCTCCTTCACCTCTGCTTTTTCTAAATGTTAGGATGAAGATAGTTTAAACTTTGAACTAGATTATAAATTTGAAGACAAATTTTTTACGTATTCTTTAGCACTTTTTTCTTGTCTAGCATAATTTTATGTATAGTACATATTTAAAAATGTTTTTGTTGTGTTGTTTTGTGTCTTGGCTTTTTTAACTCTTTGGACTTGTTTGTTGGTTTTGTTTTGCTGGTCCCCACCCACCAACCCCCTCCCCCAGATAGGATTTCTCTGTGTAACCTTGGCTGTCCTGGAACTCACTTTATAGACCAGCTGGCCTTGAATTCAGAGATCTGCCTACCTCTGCCTCTTGAGTACTGGCATTAAAAGCATGCACCATCATGCCTTCCTGAACTTTGTTTTGAAGGTCTTACTATGTAGTCCTGGTTGGTGTGCAACTGCTCTGGCTTGTAGTTACACGACCACATTGGTGATTTTTTTTCTTTCTTTAGCTAAGATCTCACTGTATGTAGTATATAGCTCACACTTCTGCCTCCCAAGTACTGGGATTGCTGATTTGTGCCATACACTTGATAAATGACAATAAATTACATAAAATCCCTAATACCTAAGAATAAAAATCTTTTCTTTTTAATTCTGAGTATTGCACACAGAACCTTGCATGTATTTGTACTTGTATAACCTACAAGTATGCTACCATAGACGTACATCCCAACAGCAACTGAGAATTCCTGATGTGGAAAAGGCTGTGATGTAATAGCAAACCTGTGTTGTTCCAGTTAACTGCCTCTGGACAGAAGTCACAGTGGAGCCACAGCCATGGTCCTCTGCTTCTTTCACCATTGCTAGCACCTTTCTCACCACTTTTTTGTTTAGCCAATTGTGAGTTAATAAAAGCAGCCATGTCAGTCCTTCTGTTATAATGTCAAGTCCTAGCCAAAGGGTTAACTAGTGCGTGGAGTAATGTTTGCTGTACTACAGCCTTCTAGGCCTGTTTTACTTATATCTGCATCCCTCATCTTCTCTACAATTCAAGCACTAGTGACCATGTTTTGTTCCTGGGTTCATATGTTAGCCTTAGTACCATTCATTTGCTCCTCTTCTCTTTTTCCCCAGGTGCTGGAGTAGCCCTACTGAATGACCATATTTATGTGGTGGGGGGATTTGATGGCACAGCCCACCTTTCTTCTGTTGAAGCTTACAACATTCGCACTGATTCCTGGACAACTGTCACGAGTATGACCACTCCACGATGCTACGTAGGGGCCACAGTGCTTCGGGGGAGACTCTATGCAATTGCAGGGTGAGGAGTTTGAAAGTGGGGTAGAGTCATGTATCGAAGGCAAGAATCCATTTGATCCAATCACCATTTTGGAAAGAGGCATAATGTGTCTTATGGGGGAACAACTGCTGTGACTGATTTCACTCCCACCCCAGGTACAGGGAATTGACCCTTGCATGCATATGGTAGGCAAGTACCCCCATGTTGAGCTGTACTACCAGCACCAGGGACTACTTTAAATGTGGGATTTGTAAGGAGTGACAACCTCACCTCTTTCTTTTGTTTTTCCCCACTTAGATATGATGGGAATTCTCTGCTGAGTAGCATTGAATGCTATGACCCTATCATCGACAGCTGGGAAGTAGTGGCCTCCATGGGAACCCAGCGTTGTGATGCTGGTGTATGTGTTCTCCGAGAAAAGTAACTGTTATTTGAGCACCAGCTGGAGCTAATGACTACTCTAAGGCAGAGTTTGTGGGAGAATCAAGGATCCTTTCCAGAATGTCTATTTCTCACTGTGTGCACAGGGTGATTACAGGCACCAGTGCTGTGATGATTGTACTTATTTGATACACACGCTCCTTCATACTGGTAATGTTGCTCAGAGGGTGGCAACAGGTACTCATGAGAAGAGGATGCACATTTGGATGTGAGAAACCAGATCATCTCTCTGTGGTCTGAGGAGCACTTTCTTACTATTTCTAACTTACCATGTTCTTGGGAGAGAACGTATGTCTCTCTCTCTCTCTCTCTCTCTCTCTCTCTCTCTCTCTCTCTGGTGCTTCATATATTGCAGAGAATTAAGGTGAATATGGCCTACTAGGTGTGGGCAGTGTCCATCCTAGGTTATTAGAAGAATATTAACTTACATAAGCTTGGTAAAATGAGTCATTTTCCACCCTCAGAAGCAAAAAATACCTTCTTTTAATACAAAGGTATCTCCAGCCACCACAGTTCCTTTCTGGAGGAAACCAAGAGATCACTGTTAAAATTTGAGAGGCCAAGAGGAGAGAGACTCATGCTATTCTTACTTAGGGAGACATGGTTGGTGTAGAGATTTGAGTAAGTGGTGTAAACTGGATGGAATCCCTGAAGTGTAAACTGGAAGGCTGGAGAAAACATATTATTTGACCCCAGGTCTTTCTAATGCGGAATGTTGTACCATCTTGGCACTGGAGACTGGGAGATTAACAGTGGGGGAAAAATTAGAATAAGAGATGGTGTAAATGTGCAGAGTTCAACCTACCTGTGGTAAACAGAAGTACCTGTGACTTTACAATCGTCTTGGTCCCTGCCGGGCTCATGTAGCCATGGCAGTGTTCATCTTTGAGTGGGTGAAGACCAACTTTCTGGTGAATCAAGTTCTACTACATTACTACACTTCCACACTATTTATTTGGGGATGGGGTGGGGGTGGCTGCAGCCTAGTAGTTCAGGTACCTGATTACTGCCCTGTTGTTTTAAGGGCACACTTTGCTAAGAAGTGCTTAATACTGCTGTGTATGGTACATTCAGCTCTCTTCCTGCTACATTTTCTGTGCCTGTCTTTAGCGTGTATTCTATTCATCCTGGAACAAAATAATCAAGGACAACTGAAAATCTTTTGTTGGTTCCCATACCTCTGCCAACATTTCTGACCTGCCATTCAAGGCTCCTCTGTGTCATAGGGTGAAATTCTTGCATTATTAGTATAGCAAGTATGGGAATATGATAGCCTAAATTGGGCTACATTTTATTTTCCCTTTGCTCTGGAATTCCACTTTTCCCTCATTCCCCTAATTGTGTTGGCCTACAGAGTTAATTCCCTTTGTATTTTTTTAAGAAAATATTAAAAATGGACTATCTCAAATGGCTTTAAGAGAATCTGTGGCTGGTGCCGCCTTCAGCACACATGTTGGAGGACAAGATAAAGAGCTAGCTGCTGGTTCCAACCTGTTTACCTTGTGCTTGCCAATGAACTCTGCTGCTTCTTTGGTCAGTTTGAAATGTTTGCCTGAATTTGCCCAATTTATTGGCCCCTTTCACACTTGGAATCTACATGAAAACAAAAGATAAAAAAATAAATTAAAGAACCTGGTGGTGGTGGCACACTTGGTAGTGGTAGTCGCAGCACTCAGGAGGCAGAGGCAGGCAGATCTCTGAGTTTGAGGCCAGCCTGATCTACAGAGTTCCAGAACAGCCAGAGATAGACAGAGAAACCCTGTCTCAAAAAAAAAAAAAAAAAAAAAAAAAAAAAGAAGAAGCAAACAGCCCTGAGCACATTTTTGCACCCACTTGAATTGTAGGGTTTCAGTTACCCTAGTAGTCATCTTTGTTTGCTTCATACAAAAATGATCATACAAAAATATATGTAAGAGACCTGCCACACAACTGCAAGACTTTTTTTTTCCTTCTTGAGACTCAATATAGCTTTAGCTGGGAACTCGATATATAGACCAGGCTGGCCTGGTGCTTACTGAGATCCACCTGCCTCTGCCTCCCCAGTGCTGGGATTAAAGTTGTACTCCACCAAACCCAGGGAAAACCACAAGACTATGTTGGTCCCAGAGCCAAAGGAAAGCAAACGAGGATAAAGCCCTTCGGCCTGTCTTAGTAGGATTGTGCCTGCTAATCAAACCACAGCCTGTGAAATGTTCATTTATCTTTGAAAGAGGGCTAGGGAAGGTGCTGGGTAGAAAGAAATGTGAAGAGAAAGGACTGATATGTAGTTTTCGGGTATTGGTGCTGATTTCTGAGTTTTGTGCCACATTTACAGTCATGCTCTGAAGCCGCCACTGAACAGTCTGCAGAAAGCCAGCTTATAAAGCTCATCATACTTTCTAAATTTTCTCAGTTTTACATACTTTCATATGCTCATACTCATAATCCCATTGATTTGTTGCTTTCTCCTAAAAAAAAAAAAAAAAAAAAGGGGGGCTGGGGGGGGGGGGCACACCCCTTTAATACACCTTTAACCCCAGCACTCGGGAAGCATAGGCAGGCAGATCTCAGTGAGTTCCAGACCATCTTGGTTTACAAAGCAAGTTCCAGGACAGCCAGAACTGTTGCACAGAGAAACCGTCTCAAACAAAACAAAACAAAACAAAAAATTATGTGCTATGTGTATGTCTATTTGAGTTGTACACCCAATTGCTGGGCCTCTGCAGGCCAGTAGGCCTCCAGATCCTCTGAGGCTAGGCTTACAGTTTGTGAACTGCACAACATAGGTGTTTTTGGAAGAGTAGTGTGTGCCCTTAACTGTCTTTCCGGTACCCCCTCTTTCTCTGTGTCCAAGGCAGAGGATAATCTTAGGTATTGTTCCTCAGTTACTATGCATCTTGGGTTTTTGTTCTTGTTTTAGTTTTTGTTTTGTTTCTCTGTGTAGTTTTGGAGCCTGTCCTGGAACTAGCTCTATAGACCAGGCTGCCTCAGACTCCCGAGTGCTGGGATTAAAAGCATGCACAACAACCACCTGGCTCTTGTTTTAGTTTGTTATGAGGGTGTGTGTGTGTGTGTGTGTGTGTGTGTGTGTGTGTGTGTGTGTAATCAGGGCAGTTCTATAGGGACAATTTTCTGATTTATGTGGATTCCAGGGATCCAGCTGCGGTTGTCAGTCTTGTGTATGCCACTGATTCTCCAAAATCCACCCGACTCTGACTGCCCAGCACTAGGCTCATGAGCATGAGCTACTATGCTTGGCTTTGTTCACATGGCTGTGGCTCAAACTCAGACTTTTGTTACAAATTAAGCTCTTTGCTGTGTGTTCCTAGCCCTGTTTTTCTGTTCACATAACTTAGGATCAGTCAGTTTCATAGCCTGGGGAGGCTTTGATCTGTACCATTACAATACGGACATCCAATTCATCCTGAGTTCTACACAATTTTGTCTTTGTTCAAATCCATTCCTTTATGATGTAAATAGTCTGATTCCTTAACCACTACACTTTTCACCCCTATTTTGTTATAGGTTCTATCTGAAATTCAGATCTGACCATTGCAGTACTTAATATACAGCCAATTATTGGTCAATATTGAAGTTGTTTCTGTCCTCAAGTTTTGTAGATTGACATTTCCTGTACTTTAAAATTCAAATTCCTTAACATACATCGGATTCATGGTGCTGAGAGGCATATTCTACCATTCTGCTCTTAACTACTACAACCTTTTTCTTCAGTCACAGGTTTGCCAATCATTCCTAAATTTGATCCCATTCTGAAGTCTTGCTTTCCTGACAATCCTAATTCCTAATCAGAATGCCACCTGGGGAGGGAGTGGAGAAATGGGTCAGTGGTTAAGAGTCCTGGCTGTTCTCTGGGTTCCCAGCACCCATATGGGAGCTTACAAGAGTCAACTTCAGTTCCAGACATCTGGTGCCTCTTCTGGCATTCAGGGGCACCAACACACAGAGTGCACTTACATTCAGACAGAACACACACAGAAATAGACCTAACTCCATTGACAAAGCTATTTCCTAATCCATTCTTATTGACAGTACTTTGTCCCCGAGGTTGTTCATGAGATTAGAGTCTGTGACCCTCTAAGGCTATATTTTCACGTACACAATTCCCATGTGCAATGTGGAACTAATGAAGAGGGCAAAGACCGCCCATGTTAAACAAGATAATTTAATTGCTTCCCATTCTGATGTCCTTCCGGTCTTGGGAAACCTACAACTAGAATTATTAGGATATAAAGACCAGTTAGAAAAGAGCCATGACAGCGGGCATTGGTGGCGCACGCCTTTAATCCCAGCACTCGGGAGGCAGAGTGTGAGTTCTGTGAGTTCGAGGCCAGCCTGGTCTCCAGAGCGAGTGCCAGGACAGGCTCCAAACCTACACAAGGAAACCCTGTCTCGAAAAACCAAAAAAGAAAGAAAACAGCCGTGACTTTGGAACTCCCTATTGGTTTGTAGGCATTGCAATTTAACCTTATCTTTGCCTTCTTCGTGCACTGCGCCAGAGGGCAAACCCTCTTAAGGAGATGACTTCGTTTTCAGAAGCACTGTAAAAACGCTTTGGTGCCTAATAAATGGGCACTATTAGACACTAGGCTTAAGATTTTTCACGCAACTTTGCCAACCCGAAATGTACTCAACGTTTTACACTGCTTCCTACATAGGAAGCGAATGTACTATTGAATATCTTGCTGAGGTGTGGTCTGGCCGGGTTGCCGAGGCAGTGGGAATGTCCGAGAACTAAGGGGTAAGGCAGCCATAGTGATTTGCCTAGGCCAATATTAAGGGAGGCTCCGGCATCAGGTAAGTACACAGAGAAAAGACTGTCACAATGTCATGGTAACACTTCGGCCCGTCAATAAACAAAGGCGCCTGCGCAATAGAGTCCAGACGCCTGCGCAGACGCACGGCGAGGGGGCACCGGGCGCCCCGCCCCTGCGGAGCCGCGCCAGCGTAGTTCCGGGTGAGCGAACCCAGATCGCGCGTGCGCCGTTGTGGCCCATGTTGTGGCGGCGCGGGGAACCGGCTGAGCTGCAGAACCAGCTAGTGTCAGCCGAGGGCCGGAACCGGAAGGCGGTGTTGTGCCAGCGTTGCGGCTCTCGGGTGCTGCAGCCAGGGACAGCTCTTTTCTCTCGCCGACAGGTATGGAAATTCGTAGAGCGGATTAGATTGGCCGTCCCGAGTGACCGGGTGGCTCGAGGCTAGTCCCGGCTCCCAGGTTTCCGGAGACCGCGCCCTTCTTCGCGCGTCTTAACCCCGCCCACCTCCGCGAGGCCCCGCCCCGCGGGTGCAGCTGGCCAGTCGGACCCGAGTGGCCCGCCACCGTTGCCTGGCCGCCCCGCACCTTTCTGTCCTGCAAAGCCCTGCCTCAGCAGGTGCCTCTGCCTCTCCCAAGCTTCAAGTACCCCCTGCGCGAGCTGAGGGAAGGAAGAAGCCCAGCCCCCAGCTCCCTGGAGCTCTGGCCAACCTGCTGCGCCCCTCAAGTGTATTTCCAGCAGCCACTCGGTGTCGCCCCAGGGCACCTGAGAATGACTAGATTCGTGTCCCACCACAGCCCTCACCCATCTTTCAGTCCCTACTTCCTGTCTCATTTGCTGCTCCGCAGAGGAGCTCCAAAATCAAGTAGGAGTGTAGTGTGTGTGTGTGTGTGTCCAAAATCAAGTAGGAGTGAGTGAGTGTGTGTGTGTGTGTGTGTGTGTGTGTGTGTGTGTGTGTGTCCAAAATCAAGTAGGAGTGTGTGTGTGTGTGTGTGTGTGTGTGTGTGTGTGTGTGTGTGTAGCTCCAAAATCAAGTTGTGTGTGTGTAGGTTTATAAAGCCAAATATTATTTAAAGCGAAAGAGAGAGAGCAGACACTTCACGGGAAGAGGTAATACGGAATTGGATTCCTAAAGTAGGGTTTTTGTGGGGGGGGGGGGGGTTAGGGTTTCACTATATAACCTTGACTGGCCTGGAACTTGTGTAGACCAGGCTGGCTTCAATTCAGATCCACTGCCTGGTTCTGCCTCAGCGCTGGAATTAAGACATGCACCATTTATGCCTAGCCTTACTTTTAAATAACCATCTTACCACCATCACCCCAATGAGAAAACTGAAAAGAATTTTTTTTCTAAGCTTGTGTGTGTGTGTGTGTGTGTGTGTGTGTGTGTGTGTGTGTGTGTGTGTAGGATACCTACTTACAGGATAGTACAAACTATAATCTTACTCAGACCCTTCCTATAAATGGTCTGTGAGAAGATGGTGAGCCATTGTTATTTTGAGGTTGACTGATTGGTAGTGAAGAGTTATGTACTCTATGTAGTGTGTGCTACAAAAGCAGAGTCCTTCTCCTAAAGAAGCAAAGAAGTGTTACTGTCTTCCTTGTTCTGTGTGTTCTGATGATTTTCTGTAGTACCTGTTTTAATAAGAAGAATTCTGAGGCCAGGAGTTAGATCTCTCCATTTGTTTTGTAAAGTCAGTGGCCTTGTGGAGAGACGGAACTGAACTGTGGAATTGAATCCAACCTGACCACTTATTAACACAGGAAAAGTGAGGATGACGAATAGGGAAGGGTTTGTGTGAAAACTGAGCACTGTGCCTCCAGTATGCCACACAACCGAGGTTAGTTTTCAGGTCACTTCTTGTACCCTTTTATGGCAGCTTGCTACTTTTGTGAACTGACAGAAATGTAAAGGTTCCTGAGCAGTGTGTGGTGGTCCATGCTTATAATACTATCACCCAGGGCTACACAGTGAGTTCAAAGCCAACAGGAATACATAATGAGAGCCTGTGTATTTATTAAATAAAACTTGCTTTAAAAAAATCAAGAAGGTCCTTAAAGGAATTTTATAGTTTATATTGAAATTTTTTGTTTCATATTGTTTTTTTTTTTAGATTTATTTATTTATTATGTATACAGTCTTCTGCCTGCATACCAGCAGAGGGCACCAGATCTCACTACAGATGGTTGTGAGCCACCATGTGGTTGGGGGGGGGGTCCTGAACTCAGGACCTCTGGAAGCGCAGTCAGTGCTCTTAACCACTGAGCCATCTCTCCAGCCCCTCATATGTTTTAAATTGATGTCTTATGGGAGGGAAACTAGGAGCAAATTAAATTATATGTTACCTATCATATCTGGTTTCTCAACAGAGTTCCTTTACAAAGAACATAACGTTTGTAACACACTCTTCAACCGAAAGCCCCAAAGCTTCATCGTAGCCCTTTGGTCATTACCCTGAATTGTTGAGAAACCACTCTCAGGCCAGTCTAGCAAGGGTGACGTCATTTCTCTTAAGAAGGTGCTTCCAGGAGGCCTGAGGAAAACATCCCAGCAGTCCGATTCTCACTGCAGACTGATAAGTTCCAAGTCTGACCCCAACATAGAAACAAATAAAAGATACCCTTCCAGAGCTGGCCAGATGGCTCAGAGGTTAAGAGCACTGGCTGCTCTTGAAGTACACGTCAAGTAGCTCACAACTCTTTGTAGCTCCAGTTAGTTCCAGGGGATCCAACACCTTTTTCTGCCTCTCTGGGTACCAGACAAGCATGTGATACACATAAATGCAGGCAAAACACTCATAAAGTAAAAATAAATCTTTAAAATTAAAAATCAGATCCTTTTGGCTGTACGGTGGTAGCTTACACCTTTACTCCCAGCACTTGGGAGGCAGAATCAGGGGGATCTCTGTGAGTTTGAGGCTAGCCTAGTCTTCAGAGCAAGTTCCAGGGCAGCCAAGGCTACACTAAGAAACCCTGTCTCGATTTAAAAAAAAAAAAAAAAAACAAGTCCTTTCAAGTGAACCTGGAGAGAGGAGGCAGGACATAAGGTCTGCTTGGAGGTGACCCACAGCATTCTCATTCCAGCCTGTAGTGGGCCCTAGTACAGTCTCTAGAGGGGAAAGCTATGAAAACCAAACCATGTACCCACTTTTGGTGTGATGTAGAGCCCAGTGATGATTCTGCCTTCCGTTTAATAGTCTAAGGCAGTATGTTTATCAACTGGGAGTGAGTTTGTCCCCAAAGAGAAAAGTCTAGAGACATATATTTTTCATGGTAAAAATTGGGAAGGGGTTCTACTGACAAACAGCAGGATTGCTGCTTAGAAGTTCTAAGGTCCAGAAACTCTGGGCCTTACATTGCAAAGTTCTGGCACCTCTAGCACCTCTTAGTACTTTTTGCCACTTACTCCACTAGACTCAGGTTCTGTGTCCTGTCCATGTGTGTATCTCATACCTAGACTGTATACATAACTAAGAACTTAGGAAATATTTGGACTTAATGAATAAAAGCTATTAATCTAGTATAAATAATGGGTTATTATTGACGCATTGGGTCAATATTTTATGTTTTAATTAGTCTTTTTTTTTTTTTTAAAGACAGACTTATGTAGCCCATGATAGCCTTGAACTCCATGTGTGACTGGGGATGACCTTGAATTTACAGTCCTTCTGGATTACAGGCGTGAACCACCACCCCAGTTTGTGTTTTCCTGGGGATAGGACATATGATAGACTCCATGCCTGCTTGGCAAGAACTCTTACCAGTTGAGCCACATCCTGTTCAGTATTTTGATTGGCAGGTTTTCAGCATGTGATTTGTGTTCTTAAAAAAAAAAAGAACACAATCAGCCAGGCGGTGGTGGCGCACGCCTTTAATCCCAGCACTCGGGAGGCAGAGGCAGGCAGATCTCTATGAGTTCGAGACCAGCCTGATCTACAAGAGCTAGTTCCAGAGCAGCCTCCAAAGTCACAGAGAAACCCTGTCTCAAAAAACCCAAAAAAAAAAAAAAAAAGAATGACTAAAGTGCCATAGAATTGGTTTCACATATAAATATTCATACCCTTGAAGTTTATATGGGATGACTAGTCCTCACTCACCAATTGCTGCCCTACTTTATTGCCTTCAATTTGCTGAAAGCCAGACCCAAAGCTCTTGGAAAGGAAAGGGTTTATTTGGGTTATATGTCCTGATCACAGTCCATTATTGAGAGATGTCAAGGCAAAACCTCAAGCTGAGCAGGGAACTGAAGCCGAGATCGTGAAGGAATAGGGCTTACTAGCTGACTTTAGCATTTTTTCTGCTCCCACAGAGCAGCCCATTTAAGCTCCGAGCACTCAATGGCTTTTGCAAGGCAAAGTTTCAAACACTTCCACAGTCCTCCCCAAAGCAGCCTGTTTATCACAGCCATAGCCCACTTCCTGGTACTGACTTCTGTCCTGATTTGATTTCTGTGGCTTTGATAAACACAACCAAAAGCAATGTGGGATCAAAAAGTTCATTTCATCTTATAGTTTACAGTTCATCATGGAGGGAAGTCATGGCAGGAACGAATGCAGAGGCCATGGAGGAGTGCTGCTTCTAACTTGCTCTCCATGCTTTGCTCAGCCTGCTTTTCTTACAGAAACTAGGACCTAAGACTGACACTACCTACAATGGGCTAGGCCCTCCTACGTAAATCGTCAATCAAGAAAATGCCCCCACAGACTTGACTGCAGGCCAGTGTGGTGGAGACAATCTCAGTTAAAGTTCCCTCTTTCCAGATGCCTTTAGCTTATGGCAAGTTCACATAAAACTATCCAGCACACTTTGGATCAGAACTGTTTCAGATTTCAGAGGTGTGATTTTTGGGGGTGGGATGGAGGAAAGTTTTTCAATTACACAATGACTTATTTTGGGCTTGAGAGACAAGTCTAAACATGGAAATTTTTTTTGTTGTTTCCACCATTCCACATAAGCTGAAGATACTTTGATGTATTTTTGGTGAGCCTGCATTTTGCCTATGACCCATCATATGATGTCAGGTGTGGAATTTTCCACTGGTGTCACGACAGTGCTCTATCAGTTTCAGACACTGGAGCATTTCAGGTTGGATTTGAGGATTAAGAAACTCAGATTTCTCATAACCCTTTAAATGTTCTTAATTTATTTTGTGTGTATGCACCATATGTATGCAGGAGTCCTTGGATGCCAGAAGATGGTTTTAGATCCCCTGGAACTGGAGTTAGGGGAGGCTGTGAACCACTATGAGGATGCTGGGAGCCAAACTTGAATCCTCGGGAAGAGCAGTGTGTGCTCTAGCCAATGATCTATGTCTCCAACCCAGATCTCTGATAATCTTATCTGGAGTTGTTGGTTAAGCTAAGTAGAGACAAGGTGACATTTCCT